AGAGCCAAGGAAGAGGGCAAGAGCCAAGGAAGAAGGCTAGGGAAACCCAATCTTCCCTAGACATAGCCCACCTTCCCATGACCACCTTCACGGCTAGTGGTGAGGACCACAACTCGTGGTAAGGTTCGTGGTGGGCTAGGTAGTGGCTAGGTGAAATCTGCCCAAAATAGCCCCCTCCACACGAACCATTTCACGGCTCGTGAAGGCTATCACTGGTCGTAGGAAGGCTCATGGTGGTGACTTAGTTTTTAGGGGTTAAGGGAGGGGATGCTTAGCTACTGGTCCAAGACCACAAGGAGGACCAGGGCTCGTGGAGCCTCTCGTGGAGATGGACAGTGCACTGTAAGTTAGGGGTTAATTTGTCATTTTGGGTTTTAATAAGACTAAAGCTATGTAATTTTTCCTAAGCCTAGGACCCCTATATAAGTCATTTTTACTCTAAAACTCACCCATTCCTCCATTGAATTTAAGCTTTGGGCTTTGAGGTACGATAGTGTTTGGATTCCTTTGATCCATGGAGTTCCCAAATTTCCTCAATTTCAAAGATTAGAATTCCCCAATTGAGTTACGATTTTATTAATTTCGCATGCGTTCCTTTCATGATTGATTTAAATGATTGAATTATGATCTTCTATGCACGAATTGATGAACTATAATTCTTTTATGATGAATTACCCCATGAACCCATGTAATCCCCATGTTTACAAGTTATGAACTGTATGTTCTGGGATTTTGAACTTCAAGGAAGAGTTTTATGAAATTGAGCATGTATTACTAGTTTTACATGAATTTATGATGAAATCCATATCTAACCTATGTTTTCTAAGAGTTGATGATTGAAAGTGGGTTTTGACCTCAAGGAAGTAAATTATGGACTTGTCCATTTCCTTATCAAATCTATGTGAATGTTTTAAGGGTGCTTTGAGAGTAAAGTGTCATATGATGATGTTGTTGTTGTGTTGTTGAAAGGATATTCTCTTAAACACTTAAGTAACATGATGTGAAAGGCTTTCTCACAAATAAAGGATTCTTAGGTTGAAAGTCTTTCTCACCTAATTGAATCAAAGAGTAAGAGCTATCTTAATGAACTAGCTTGAATTGGTTGTCCAAGGGCACCTTCCATGGGTTATGAGATAAGTCAATACTTATTAAATTTTCCGTGGGATTTATGCTTAGCACCGAGTGGATATTGATAGTGCAATGGAAGCTCTCCCGTATTAGAGGCAGGGTTTCTAGAAACAATCTCTTGATATGAAAGCTCGCATGTAGAAGAGGCCAGGTTTCTAGTAGCAATCTCTGTATCCCTTAACTATGTTCCCCCATAGGTTGATTAGCTAGTATATCCACTTAAGGTAGAAGTTCATGGTTCTACCTTAGGCAAGTAGAACAACCATTTTCGGTATGGGAGACACCGGGGGATCATGTTATAGCTCACATGGTCTCAATGTCAGTTAAGGTTGATTCCCCACTAGTAATAATGAACTAAGGTTACTCAAGGAGTATCACATATGAATTCAAAGGTTTTAAAGAAGAATTTAGCTTGCATTGACCATGATTTATGACTTATGTTTTATAACTCTTTCATATTATGTTTTAGTTTGGTCAACTGCATGTCATGAAATGAAATGTCCTTTTTTGCATGTTTTTAGATATTTTATGCATTTCTATCATACTTGGTACATTGTTTTATACTAAAGCATACTCTTGCCTACATTTCCCCAAAATGTATGGTCCGTCAGTCAAGGTTCCGAATTTCGTGGCTAAAATTTGACTTGAGATTTTCTGAGCTTTGGTGAGTCCATATGCTTTGAGGACGAAGTTTATTGTTTTCACTTTCTTCCATGTATTTTCTCTCTTGGACATGACGTATGGGCTAGGCCCAATTTCATACTATTATGGTAGATGGCTATGATGAGACATGAGTTTAGACTTCTGCTTTTCTTTATAAAAATGTTTGGACTTGAAATGTTGTTTTACTCTTATTGTTCTATTTCTTATTTTATGAGAGCTAAGTGGCTTGTATGGAGTTCTTTTGGGGTTCTATACGCCATGTTATATCTAGGGTGTACCCCTAGGTCGTGAAGATTTCAGGTAATGGATATCAACACTAGCTAGAACTTGCTATTGGGGAGACCATGGATCCATATGGTCGGGGTAGTGCCTTCTACCCTCCATCAGCTGATAAAATTAGTATGGAAGGACAACGAATTGGTCTTTCATGATGAGAGAAGCCATTCCAATGGTTATACATTAATTGTTGATGAGGTCTCTATAGGTTGTGGCTTCTACACGGTAGAGCTAGTGAATGCCACATGAGATGATTTGGCTCCACAATTCCCTATGCCTTCTATCTATAAGAGTATAGCCATTGTCATGCTCAAAAGTGGTTTTGAACTAGGTTTTGGATTCGGGAAGTACTTTCATGGAATCATCGAGCCTATCCCAACTGAAGATACTGAGGCAAAAGTGATGAGCAAGAATGTTGATCAGGCGTTGGCCAGGCCAATACCTCACTTATATCAGTCATTTCCAGTGCGGGAGTATGTCAATGATGGCGGTCTTGGAAAAGGAATCTGGAATCTTTTCAAATAAGTTGATGTAATCTTCGAGGAGGTGACCGAGACATCGGACATTCGTGATATTGAACCAAAGGAACAAGTGCCAAATTGGACCTCCACATCACTCCTGATTCCCCACTCGTCTTGGTAGAAAGACATATTTTTATGTTTGCTTTAAAAATCGGTAGTAATCCGAAAGAGGTTCGAGACCCACCCTTTATGCAATTTTACTTGATTGAATTTTAAATTCTCCCGTGATATTTTAAAACGAAAAATTGACCCTTGGTCATGGCCAAAGTTTGTACTTTTTTTCAATATAAATGAAAGCCTCTCATATTGAAATATTTGTTTATTTACTTTTCTGCTTACATCTTACTTATCTAACTATGTTTATTTATGATTTCAGTACTAATAATTTAAAATCTGCCAACATGATGTCATTTCACAACCTGAATAAACAAAATTAGGTAGATGATGCTGAGTGCGAGGACTATGAGGAGGAGATCGAGACACCTGAGCATATCAGCCAGAACTTTAGACAATTTGAGAACCAACATAAGCCAAATCTGGAGGAAACAGAAACCATGAATTTAGGAAATTAAGAATGTGTCAAAGAAGTGAGAATCAGTGTTCACTTGACTCAAGCTCAAAGAAAGGATATTTTATGTTTGCTTAAAGAGTATATCGACACATTTTCTTGGTCTTATAATAATATGCCATGATGGAGTAAAAACATTGTTTCTCACAAATTGCCGATTAATCCAAATTTTAGTCCGGTGTAACAGAAAACTCGGAAGTTCAAGATGGAGTTGAGTTTGAAAATCAAGGAAGAGATTACCAAGAAAATTGAGTCCAAAGCTGTAAAAGTGACGCAATATCCTACCTGACTAGCGAACATTGTTCCAGTTGCTAAAAAGGACAAAAAGATGAGAATTTATGTTGATTATAGGGTTCTTAACAAAGCTAGCCGAAAGGATAATTTTCCATTTCCGAATACTAAGAAAGCAATTCAAGAGTTACCTCCTCCGAAGACTAAGAAAGAGATCATGAGTTTCCTAGGAAGATTGAACTATATTAGCCGGTTCATAGCTCAATCCACTGTGGTTTATGTGCCCATCTTTAAGTTGTTGAAAAAAAATGCGCTGACCAAGTGGATTGAGGAATGTCAAACTGCTTTTGATGCCATCAAGCATATATTACTTGTCCAATCCACTGGTGTTGGTTCCTCCACGAGAAGGAAGTCCATTGTTACTGTATCTATATGTCTCGAATAATGCATTTGGATGTGTGCTTGGTCAACATGATGAAACTGGTAAGAAGGAGTGAGTCATCTTCTACTTGAGCAAGAAATTCACTCAGAATTTGGGACATTATTTATCTTCATATACCACATACCTCATATCCAGGATGGACCCATTGAAGTATATTATTCAGAAAGCGATGCCGATCGGAAAGTTAGCTAGATGGCAAATGATTTTGAGCTAGTTTGATATTGTGTATGTGCCACAAAAGGCAATAAAATCACAAGCCTTAGTTGATCACCTCACGAGAATCAAGTTAATGAAGAGTATGAACCGCTTAAAACTTGCTTCCCTAAGGAAGAATAGCATTTGTGAGAGAAGACATTTTTTAGGCATACCCAGGTTGGAGGGTATTCTTTGATGGAGTGGCGAACCACCAAGGAAATGGTATTGGAGTAGTCCTAGTAACCGAATCTGGTCAACATTATCCTATGGCAGCTAAACTCCGATTCAATTGCACAAATAACATGGCTGAATATGAAGCTTTCATTCTTGATTTGAAAATGGCTATCGATATGAACGTCTATGAGTTGTTGGTAATTGGAGATTCGGATTTGCTAATTCATCAAGTTCAAAGAGAATCGGTCATAAAGAATCCAAGGATCACACCATATGTGCAGTTGATACAACAGTTGTGCAAAAGATTCCGCAAGATTGAATTCAGACACACTCCCAAGATGCAAAATGATTTGGAAAATGCTCTTGCCACCAATGCCTCAATGATCAAACATCCAGATACAAATTATATTGATTCCTTGGATATAGAGGTAAAAAAGCGTCATGTTCATTGTTCACATGTTGAAGTGGAACCAGATGGGTTGCCTTGGTATTTTGACATAAAGAAGTATTTGGAAACCGGGACTTATCCTGAGAATGAAACGTTCAACCAGAGAAAATCGATACGTCGTAGGGCTCATAATTTCTTTTCAAGTGGGGAAATCCTTTACATGAGGACTCTAGATTTAGGTCTTCTCAAATGTGTAGATGTTATTGACGTTGTGAAGCTTCTTGAATAGATACAGGCTAGAGTTTGTGGTACTCATATAAATGGACTAACCTTGGCAAAGAAGATCCTTTGAGACGGTTATTTTTGGATGACTCTGGAGCATGATTGTTGCAAATTTGTGCAAAAATGTCATAAATGTCAAATACATGGGGATTTGATTCAAGTACTGCCTCACGAACTCAATGCCATGAGTTCAATTTGGTCGTAGATTCCCGCATGGAGGTCATTGGTCCAATAAAGTCTGCCGCTTCTAATGGACACAGATTCATTTTGGTTGCCATTGATTACTTTACCAAGTGGGTGGAAGCAGCCTCGTATAAATCAGTGACAAGAAAGTTGTGGTTGATTTTGCCCCCGACAATTCGTTATGTAGATTTGGGATACCGGGATCCATCATTACTAACAATGGAGCAAATCTCAACCGTCATTTGATGAAAGAGATATGTGAACAATTCAAGATTACTCATCGAAACTCAACCACCTATCGTCCCCAAATAAATGGAGTTGTAGAAGCCGCCAACAAGAACATCAAGAAGATTCTTAGGAAGATGATAGGCAATCAGAAAGGTTGGCATGAGATGTTGTCATATGCTTTGTTGGGTTACTGTATGACTGTCAGAACGTCAATTGGAGCAACTCCATACCTGTCAGTATATGGAACAAAAGCAGTTCTACCTGCCGAACTTGAAATACCTTCATTGAGAATCATCCAAGAAGCCGAATTGAGTAATGTTGATTGAGTTTGCAAGTAGATTGATCATTTAACGTTGATTAATGAGAAGAGGATGATTGTCATTTTTCATGGCCAACGATATCAACAAAGAATGATTTGTGCTTTCAACAAAAGGGTAAGATTCATGATATTTGAAATCGCTCAATTGGTTCTCAAACGCATCATCCCGCACTAAGATGAGTACAAAGGGAAATTTGCACTAAATTGGCAAGGACCCTACTTGGTTCGCAAAGTGTTATTTAGAGGTGCCCTGATCTTGTCAGAGATGGATGGCACAGAGTGGACAAGACCGATCAACTCAGATATTGTCAAGAGATATTATGTGTGAAGGCACGGTCTGTGTTTCTCTCTTTTCCTTGTAATCGCTATTATTTGCTTGTAATCGTTTATGGTTTAGAATGTTTTCCCCTTTGTAATGAACTATGTCTAACCTAATTCTCAAGAATGAGATACGTAGGCATCCTGTGTCGACCTCGGTCACCCATCTACCCTTTTAATGTGTTCCTTTGTACTTGAACTACGTTCAACCTGAATTCTATAGAATGAGATACATAGGCGGCCCATGTCGGCCTTAGTCGTTTCCTTGTTGAAATTCCCTATTTTTGTTAATCCTCAAGAGTGGAACTACATTTGACATGATTCCTACCTCAACGGGATACGTAGGCGTCACAATGGTTCATCAAATCTCCCGTAAGATTACTATTTTTTACTATAGAAAATGGGTCGTAAATTTTTAAGAGGAACTCAAAAATTCTCAAGAAGAATATCTCCCCAACAAGTCAAGACTAAAAATACATTAAGAATTGCAACTGAGACAAATATTTGGAGAGAATCTCAAAAATTCCATGAGTCATCTATCGACATTTCAAAATAAGCCAAGACATTTAACTGGGACAGAATTTTTTTGGGATGACCTCAAAAACTTCATCAGGCTTCATCAGAAGTTTAAGAAAACATCGAATAACTCTAGCATGATCAGGAGTTCGGAAGTAACTTCAAGTGATCCACAACGCCATTGCGAGACAGAAAGTCAACCTCAAGAATCTTCGACATTTCAAGAGCCAGATCGCCCAAACTTCAACAATCTTCAGAATATTTCCAACAAGTTATCTGATAGATCTCAAAAAATCAACCCCAAATGTATTCATTAAGCTTGATGTGACATGGCACTTGGCAGTGACCTTTTTAAAATGTAGTTTTTGAAAACCTTTTTTTTTCTTTTTTTCTTAAAGGCTTTATCCATATGTTTCAAATATTTTGCACAAAAATGTTGTCTTATCTATCAATATAAGCAGGAGATCGGAGAAATTAACCGAAGATAGCAAGACAAGAAGCAGACAACCTGAGATATTGACACAAATTAGTTCATTTAAAACTAAGTATTTTTCTATGGATGCAGAAAAAGTTTTAACGTTTTGATACCAGGGAAAGAATTTGAAATGTGAGTAACATTTTTTTGCCCAAATTCGCAACAAGGTGAGATCCATAATGAACATACGATTGTTCGAAGATGGAAAAAATGAAAACTTGAAGAAAGCAATATTATCATTTCCCTGCAACTAGAAATATCAGGCAGATATTCATCGTATTATCGAGTGTGATAATATCTTCACCCAAAGGGTCACTTATATTGTATTGTCGAATAAGATGGTACCACTACCCAGAGGGTCATTTATATTGTATTGCCTAATAAGATGATACAACTACCTAGAGGTTCATTCATGTTGTATTATTGAGCAAGATAATATCATTGCCCAGTGAGGCATTACCACCATTGCCCAGTAAGGCAATATCTTCATTCAACTCCCGAAAGTCATCTTTATCTCATTGCCCAGTAAGGCATCACCAGCATTTCACAATGAGGCATTATCTTCATTCAGCACCAGAAAGTCATCATCATTTGCATTGCCCAGTCAGGCACCATCTTCATCATATTGCCTAGTAAGGCATTTGTTTCATCAACTAAAGTCATCATTATCGGCATTGCCCAGTGATGCGTTATATTTATTCAGCACCAAAAAGTCATCTTCATCTCATTGCCCAGTAAGGCATCACCGACACTCCCTAGTAAGGCATTATTTTCATTCAGTATTGAAAAGTCATCATCATCGCCATTGCCAAGTGAGGCATCATCTTCATTGCCCAGAGAGGCACCGACTTCATTCAATTGCAGTAAAATCATTATAATTATCATTGCCCAGTGAGGCATCATGTACATTCTGTTACAAGAAAGTCATCATCATTGTCTCCATTCGAAGAGCGTCATCAAGAGAGCCATCAATATATTACATGAAGTCTATTTCTTATTACTTTGATATAAAAAGAAAAGTACATTGAAGAATTGTATTGAAAAAATGAGGTCTAAGCTTTATTTGATCTGCGTCAAATTGAAAAAAGCTGGCATCAAGTATTTGAAAGGAGGAGCTAAGTGCCGACACGGTAAAGACACTATCTCTCCATTTAAATTACATTTTATACTGATGAATTTTATCTCAATATTTGTCGAAAGCATCCAAGAGGATGATTTCTCAAATAAACCACGAGTGTGGACGACATCAAAAAAGATCCAGCACAATATGGAACTTTTTCTTTGCAACAAACTGGGACATAGTCCGAAGAGAAGTATCAAACTCATAGGACGTGAGCTGAGGAGTGACTTCCACCACAATTAAACTATACCCCTATCAGAAGGCATGTAGAATTTTCCTTAGATCTATCGGTTTCAGTTTCGCATCTAGAAAAATTTGGTTTTCACCGGAGGCAACTTTCCAATCTGAGTGACAATACACCAAGAGTTTTGGAAATTATGTCTGTGTAAGTTCTAAGTATGGGTGTGAAGCGAGCCACATTCATGGTTAAGAGGTTATCTTAGCATACTCGACTTACTTTGTCGCTCTTCTATACTGAAGGTTATCTTACCATAAGAGATTTCCTTTTCAACCGACCAAGTCAAACTTATAACTGCCTGATTCCTTGAGTTAAGGGATATGTAGGCAGGATCAGTATTGAAACTTTAGCTGTAATTCAACATTCTTTCTCAAATCTTATTCTCGAGCATTCCGGTCTCTCCATAGTCCTATATCAAAATAGCTTCTGAATTTTTTCAGAATCGTGCGTTAAAACAAGTGTATCAAACTACAAGTGACCTAAATTCTCATATTGTCAGAGATATGTAGGAAACCCATATTCGGGGTTCGGCCATAATTCCAAAAGTTTGTACCAAATCCTTTTTCTAAAAAATGAAGATGTGGTCGGTCAAAATTGAATTCGTCAATTTCATTTGCCTCGAATTTCTTTCATCAATCCAACTCAAACGAGGGATAGTTGTTTACACCAAATTTTGACCCACCACGATAGAAATTAATTTTCAAGTTTCATTTATTTCAAACTATGTGGGATAATGATTTGCCACGAAATCTTGGAACATTTGATGCTTGAAAACTAAGAATTTATACTAGAATCGGGTGTATTTATGAGGATATAATGTGTTTGGTAGTGTTTGTACAGGTGAAATGGGTGGAAGTAAAAGAAGATAGAAAAGATGAAAATTCAGTGAACGTGGAAGTAAAGACCACGGACGACGTCACGGGTCGTGGTCTTCACTACTGATCGTGGAGATGCTTGTATAGTTGAACGAGTGATGAGGATTGGAGGAGCTGAATGAGAATTGAACCAAGTGAAGACCATGAACAACCTCACGGGTCGTGGTCCTCACAATGGTCTGTGGTGAGAGTCGTGAAGATGAGCCAGTGAATGGGCAATGAAAAGTGGGAAAGGGAATTGACCAAGTAAAGACCACAGACCATGGTCATTGTCACGAGTCGTGGTGGTGTCTGTGGTGTTGATCCAGTGAAGGGGAAATATAAAGTTGAAGAGGGAATTGATCAAGTGAAGACCACGGACAACTACACGGACCGTGGTCATTGTCAGAAGTCGTGGTGGTGTCTATGGTAATGAATTAGTGTACAGGCTTTGAAGAACTTGTTTTGGGTGAGTGCAAGTGAACACCACAAAGGGTTTCACGGGCCATGAAGCCCTTGACGAGTCGTAGAAGCAGTTGTGAATTGTCCGACAGTTCAGTCCTACTTCGAGTAGGACTCTTTTTTAAAACACTTTATTTGAATTAATTAGGTCATTTTTAGTTTTTATCTCGTCTTATCTGGAACGAAGAACAAGTTTTCAAATATTCTTAGCTTTTGGTTTTAAAGATTAACATCGAATTAGGTTTAAAAATTGGATTTCCGATTCTTGAATTATCAAAGTCTTATCGATTTGCTTATTTTCGTAAGTATTTTCTTGTCAAGTTTTCATTATATACTTCTGTAAGTTTACGTGAAATCATGAGTAGCTAAATGCCACAACTGAGATTGTGGGATCTATGACGTAAATTTAAATGTATTTTCATAAAATGAGTGAAAGGTAATTTATATTTGTAAATTATAATTTAGCTTTCTTTATTCAAGTATTCTAATGAGTGAACGCATTGGAGTGAGAATGTATCTGTCATTTGTTCGAGAGAAAAATGATAGTAAGGAAAAAGCTAAATTAGCCTGACGAAATGGAATCAAAGTTCGAGTTTGAGAGAAAAGAACTTTAACAGTATTGTAAGCGAGGGTAAAACTTGTAATACTCTAGGACAGAGAGGACCTGCGTAAAGATTATCTGAGATAGAGTTAGCTCGCTTGTATTTTGTAGAGATAAATTGCCTGAAACTCAACTGCGGAAGAACATTAGATGCAACATTATGGGGAACACAATTCTAGTTTTATTTAATTATCGAAACAACTTTAGAACTGATATTTTGTTAATTGTTGAATTAGATCTCAGTCAACAACCTTTGTTTCCATCGCTTTATCGCTAAACGCATTTTACTTTCCGTAATTGTTTCTTTAGGAAATAATAACGACATTTGAGTAAAACATTACAGTGAAATTATTTATGTAAAGAAATTCTCTGTGGGATCGACCTCAACTCACATTGAGTTTTATAAATTGACTTCGACCGTTTTTACCTCTTAATTGAGGTGTAAGTTGGGACATATCAAATTTGTGAGCAACCTTCCATTTTAGCTATTTAAATGAATGGAGATTGACTCTGTGTTTATCTGAAATATTGTGATTAGTATGTTTGTGTTTCTGATGGACTTTTGAAGTGTGTCTGTTGGGCTGTGCAGCGCTATTATTTTTTTGTGAGAAATGAGGACCTTAATCTGAAAGCTGACTGTTATGATCCTTAGAGATCATCTTAGATACCTACATGTTGAACATTGCTACTCTGATAAATAAATTGGTGAACTAAGAAACTGGAGAATGTAGTCATTTGTCATGTGTGTGTGAGGATTGCTCGAAGGCTAATGCTAGGAGCAGAAACTAGAACTTCCTCGAGTAGTCTCGCTTAGATCTGAGAAATAACCGGATAGGAAAGGATCAGTAGGCCATTTTTGCTAAGCCATTAAAAAGCGAAAAATAAAACAACCAAATAAAAAGCTTATCACTTGAACTCGATTTTAGCCTGAAAATCACTATTTGTTCTTACCCATTAAATATCATATACATGGGTCTCCGAAGATATGATGTCACAACTAAGGCCAAAAGCCTAAGTTGAGGGTGATTGCAACCCGAGCAGAAAGAAGAAGTGAAAAAGAAGGTTCAACCAGTGAGCTAAATGAATAAAAAAAATTAAAAAAAAGAAAAAAAAAAAATTGATGTTGGGATGTACTGAAACGAAGAAAAAGAGGGAATCGCTCAGAAAAGAGTTGTGTGCAAATGAAACTTTGGAGAACCAAGGGACTAGTCACTCACAAACCCAAATATCCATTCCCTAGCCTGACCCTATGTTACAAGCCGATAAAGTCCAACAGTGATTCGATCCCGAATGTTTGAAAGATAAAGCGTAGAAAGCAAGGGCAAGCCTGTGGTAGTTTTGTGTTAGTGTTAGAAGTTCTTTGAGAGTGCGAGCGTAGTACTTAGTCTCAATCATCATGAGTGAGGGACTTCTTTGGTGTGAGGACAAAGTGATTGCATTTTAGAGTAGATTGAATTAGCTGAGAGTTCACAAGCATAAGCATGGTCGACTGTGAGTAATGAGATGTCATATATTGATCCTAGCATGTTAGATTGATGATTTTGGATACAATTTGTGTTTTGAGATGGTTGTTGCATAGTTTCAAAAGTGTTTGAATGATTTGAGGACTGAATGTATTGTTCTCTCATCACTTGAGGACAAGTAATGGTTCTAAGTTGAGGGTGTTGATGTGCCACAAAATCTTGGCACATTTAATACTTGAAAACTAAGAATTAATACTAGAATCGAGTGTATTTATAAGGATACAATGTGTTTGGTACTGTTTGTATAGGTGAAACGGGTGGAGGTAAAAGAAGATAGAAAAGATGAAAAATCAATGAAGTGGAAGTAAAGACCACGGACGACTTCATAGGTCGTGGTCTTCACTACCGATCGTGGAGATGCTCATAGAGTTGAACCAGTGATGAGGGTTGGAGGAGTTGAACGAGAATTGAACCAATGAAGACCAAGAACAACCTCACGGGTCGTGGTCCTCACAATGGTCCGTGGTGAGAGTCGTGAAGATGAGCCAGTGAATGGGCAATGAAAAGTGGAAAAGTGAATTGAGAAAATGAAGACCACGGAAAACTACACGTACCGTGGTCATTGTCACGAGTCGTGATGGTGTCTGTGGTGATGATCCAGTGAAGGGGCATTGTAAAGTTGAAAAGGGAATTGATCAAGTGAAGACCATGGACAACTACATGGACCATGGTCATTGTCAAAAGTCGTTGTGGTGTCCGTGGTGATGACTCAGTGTACAGGCTTTGAAGAACCTATTTTGGGCAAGTGCAAGTGAAGACCATGAAGGGCTTCACAATACATGAAGAGCTTGACGGGTCGTGGAGGTAGTCGTGAAGTGTCTGACAGCAGATCAGTCCTACTTCGAGTAGGACTCTTTTTAAAACACTTTATTTGAATTAAATAGGTTGTTTTGAGTTTTCATCTCGTCTTATTTGGAATGAAGAACAAGTTTTCAAATATTCTTAGCTTTTGGTTTTAAAGATTAACATCGAATTAAGTTTGAAAGTTGGATTTCCGATTCTTGAATTATCAAAGTGCTTATCGATTTGCTAATTTTCATAAGTATTTACTTATCATGTTTTCATTATATACTTGTGTAAATTTACGTGAAATCATGAGCTACGAAATACCACAACTGGGATTGTGGGATCTATGACGTAAATTTAAATGTAATTTCGTAAAACGAGTGAAAGGTGATTTATATTTGCAAATTATAATTTAGCTTTCGTTATTCATGTATTATAATGAGTGCACGCATTGGAGTGAGCCTGTATCTGTCATTTTTTTGAGAGAAAAATGATAGTTAGGAAAAAACTAAATTAACATGACGAAATGGAGTCAAAGTTTGAGTTTGAGAGAAAAGAACTTTAACACTATTGTAAGCGAGGGTAAAACTTGTAATACTCTGGGACCGAGAGGATTTGAGTGAAGATTATTTGAGTAGACTGAGAAGTATCAGATATAGTTAGCCCACATGTATTTTGTAGAGATAAATTACCTGAAACTCAACTACGGAAGAACATTATATGCAACTTTATGGGGAACAATTCCTAGTTTCATTTAATTATCCAAATAACTTTAGAATTGATATTTTGTTAATTGTTGAATTAGATCTCAGTCAACAACCTTGGTTACTGGTGCTTTATCGCTAAACCCATTTTACTTTCGGTAACTATTTCTTTAGGAAATAATAATGACATTTGAGTAAAACGCGACAGTGAAATCATTTCTGTAAAGAAATTCTCTGTGGGATCGACCTCAACTCACGTTGTGTTCTATAAATTGACTTCGACTGTTTATACTTCCTAATTGAGGTGTAAGTTTGGACGTATCAAATTTTGGTGCCGCTGTCGGGGAACTTCAATTCAGAAGTGTTTCACTAGCTTTATTCAACATGTAGTTATATTACCTAATTTTACATCTTGTTCTTTGTCTGTGTCTCTTTTAGGTGAGTTTGATTGTGTATGTCAAATACCAGAAGTAAGGGAGCCAGATTATTCCCATACGACCCAGAACTTCGGAAGACAATCCGTAAAATGGTGAATGCACAAAAACTTGAGGCTCAAAGGCAAAGACTTGAACTGGAAGCTGAAACCGCTGCAAAAAGTATTCAGCAAAATGTTGTGAACAACCAGCCTAGGGTTGTGGAAGAAAACATAGCAGTGGATGAACTTGTTCCTCCCCACCGTCAACCAATAGCTCCAAGTGGTAGGGCACAACATCCAACTCACATGATGTATAAAGAGGATGACTTAGACTTGGATGGAGCTGGAGCCACAGGAGAGATAGTGTTACTTGCACTACCTCCAGGTGTGAAATTCACAATCACCAACACTATGATTCAACTGCTGAATTTGAAAGGTATGTTCAGGGGTGCAGCTGGTGATGATGCTAATCAACATTTGATGAACTTTGTGGCGATATGCAAATCGCAAGAAATTCCTAGGGTTAGCCAGACAACAATGAGATTGAGGTTGTTCCCACTCTTACTGGGGAGGCAACCAATTGGTTAAATGAGATGCCTGATGAGTCAATCAGGACTTGGACTGAGCTGAAGGAGGCCTTCCTAGAACTATTCTTTCTAGAATCAAAAGAGTTGCAGATGAAAGATAAGATAAGTGCCCATAAGCAGTTACAAGGAAAAGCGATGCATGCCACTTGGTGGAGATTCATCCAAAAGCTAAAGAAGTGTCCAAACCATGGTCTCATTGAGAGACATCTAAAAAGGGTTTCTATAGATCTTTGAATTATATTACTAAACTTGTTGTTGATGCAATGTGTAGAGGATCATTCATGAGGAAGCCATTCTCAGGAGCATGTAGCTGATGGACGAGGTATCCAAGAATAATAGGGCATGGTACACCAGGGATGCAGAAGTAGGAGACCTTCGGTTCACTTTTAAACTCTCAGCTGAACAAAGGAAAAGAGAAGAATAAACGAATCAGGATATGGCACTCATGAGGACCCAGATAGACCTACTCACGAAACATATTGTCGCAAGTTCTGAAAATGTAAATGTTGTAGGACCTCCAAATAGGTATAAAGATCAGGACATCGATCTAGATGAGGAGGTGAAACACTTGGGCAACCAAAGAGGTTTCCAGAATTATAACTCAGGACACCAAGGTTACAATTCCGGAAATGCAGGTCGAAACTATTCAAGAGAAGGACAATATGATAGGCTAGCAAACAGAGACTAGAGAAACTGGTAGAACAGAGATGGGTACAAAAATGATTGCAGTGGTGTGTATGTGCCCCCAGGTAATAGAGACCGGGTGAGCCGTAGTTCCAGTAGGTCTAAGTTGGAAGACATGTTGGCCAAGGTGCTTCAAAAAGATGAGTCAACTGATGCAGGAGTGAAGGAGATGAAAGGTGATCTCTCCAGTATGAGTCAACTGGTAGACTCTCACACCACCTCCATAAAGCAAATAGAGCAGCAGTTGGGGTAGCTTTCAGCATCACTAAATCAAAGGAAGAATGGGTCACTGCCTAGTGATACTATTCAAAATCCTAAGAAGGACGGGCATTGCATGGCTATCGCCACCAGGAGTGGTAAGATTCTTAATGACCCAATTTTTGCAGGTACTGAGAATGAACAGGTTATGGAGAAAACTGGAAGAGAGGAGACCGAAGCTGAACATGTATATGACTCGCAGGATGCTCAGCCAATAGCGAAACAAACAGGAGCAACAGAGAAAGGAGTTGAGGGAATTATGCCTTTACAACAGATTTCAAGACCACCTCCTCCTTTCCCTCAAAGTCATAAAAAGAAAGCCGAAGATGGGAAATTTGTGAAGTTTATCACCATGCTAAGAAAACTGTCAGTGAACATACCATTGGTGGATGCCCTAGAGCATATGCCAAGATATGCCAAGTTCATGAAGGACTTGGTCACGAAAAAAAGAGTTCTAAGTATTGATTTTACTGACAATGTTCATCACTGCAGTGCTATTGCTACCAGGTCTCTAGTAAAGAGGGTGGAGGATCCGGGTGCATTCACTATACCGTGCACAATCGGATTAATCGAATTCGCAAAGGCCTTGTGTGACTTAGGGGCCAATATAAACTTGATTCCATTGGCCATCTACAAGCAACTGGGGTTAGGAGTTCCAAAACCCACAGCAATGAGGTTGATGATGGCAGATAGGTCGGCGAAGCGACCCATGGGAATCTTATGTGATGTGCTCATAAAGGTGGACACTTTTATCTTTCAAGCAGACTTTGTGATCTTGGATTGTGAAGTGGATTTTGAGGTTCCCATAATCTTGGGAAGACCATTTATAGCCACAGGATGAGCATTGGTTGATGTCTAGAGTGGAGAGCTGAAATTCAAGCTCAACAATGAGGAGGTAAAGTTTAAAATTTGGAGGTCCATGAAGCAACCTCAAGACATGAATGTGGTGTCGGCAATAGAAGTTGATGATGAATGAGAGTTTGGAGTAACTATTGAGGAGAGGATGGCTGTCGAAACATTAGCAGCCGTGTTGATGAACTTTGAAGTTGATTTCTGGTCTGACTATGTAGAGACTGTGAATGTTATGCAGGGAATGGGAGCACAGTCTTATGCTCCAAAGAAACTAGAACTGGATTTGAAAAATAGGCCAAGTCCTCCAACAAAACCATCCATTGAGGAGCCACCTATGCTGGAACTGAAACAGTTACCCAGTCACCTGAGGTATGTATTTTTAGGTACTAACAACACTTTGCATGTGATCTTAGCTGCATATTTGAATGAAGAGCAGGCTCAAGATGTGATCAAAGTGTTGATAAGGTACAAAAGGGCTATTGGGTGGACCATTGCTGACATCATCGAGATACCTCCGGGTATATGCACCCATAAGATCCAACTTGAGGAGGACTGCAACTCAATCAATGAACACTAGCATAGGCTAAACCCACCAATGCAAGAGGTGGTAAAAAAGGAGATTATCAAGTGGTTAGATGTTGGGGTGGTGTACCCCATTTCTGACAGTCATTGGGTCAGCCAAGTGCAATGTGTGCCCAAAAAAGATGGTATGATAGTGGTGGCGAATGTAAAGAATGAGTTGGTCCCACAAAGACCAGTCACTTTATGGCGAATGTGCATGGACTACAAGAAGCTGGACAAGAAGACCTTGAAGGATCATTTCCCAATGACATTCATGGACCAGAAGGTTGAAATGTTTGCTGGAAAAGGGTGGTACTATTTCTTAGATAGATACTCTGGCTACAACCGGATATCAATTGGTCCTGAAGATCAAGAAAAGACTACATTTACATGTCCTTATGGCACCTTTGCGTTTAAACGCATTCCATTTGGACTATGTGATGCACCAGCAACCTTCCAGAGGTGTATGATGTTTATCTTCTCGGACATGGTGGAGGACAGTATAGAGGCATTCATGGACGACTTTTCAGTGGTAGGTGATATCTTTAATGACTGTTTGCTCAACCTTAGCAAGGCTTTACAGAGATGTAATGACGCCAATCTAGTGCTGAATTGGGAGAAGTGCCATTTCATGGTCAAGGAAGGCATAGTCCTTGGTCATAAGGTGCACAAAAGGGATTAGAGGCTGACAAGGCCAAAATTGAGGTGATGAAAATTTGCCTCCGCCTATCTGTGTGAAGCGTGTTCGAAGCTTCTTAGGACATGCCGAATTCTATAGGCTTTTCATCAAGGACTTCTCAAAAATTGCACACCCATTGTGCAAGCTTTTGGAGAAGGGGGTGACATTTTCTTTTGATGAGGCATGTCTCAAAGCCTTTGAATGCCTGAAGGAGAAGTTGATTTTTGCCCCAGTGATCATTGGCCTAGATTGGCTGAACCATTTGAGGTAATGTGAGATGCTAGTGGTATTGCTCTAGGAGTGGTGTTAGGGAAAAAGCGGAACAAGATATTTCATCTGACCTATTACGCTAGCAAGTCACTAAATGGAGCGTAGTGAAACTACACAGTCACTGAACATGAGCTACTGGTTGTGGTGTATGCTTTCAAGAAATTCAGAGCTTACTTGTTGGGTACTAGAGTAATAGTCCACACGGATCATGCAGCTCTGAGATACCTCATGGCAAAGGAAGATGCCAAACCAAGGTTGATCAAATGGGCGTTGATATTTTAGGACTTTGATTTTGAGGTTAAGTATAAGAGAGGTTGTGAAAACTAGGTGGCTAATTACCTGTCTAGGTTGGAGGCTGAAAATAAAGAGGAGCTTGAGCTCGAAATCAATTATTCATTCCTGGATGAGCATGTATTAGACGCTACTCTTGATCTTATTCTTTGGTTTGCTGATTTTTCTAACTTTCTTGTTAGTAACTTAATGCTTGAGAGGTTGACATTTCAGCAAAGGAAAAGGTTCCTACATGATATGGGTAAGTATTTTTTGGATGAACCTTAATTTTATAGGGGGTTTGTTGATAATATCATTAGGCGATGCATCCCTAAAGCTGAAATGTTCCACATTCTAGAGGCATGTCACTCCTCTCTAGTAGGTGGTCATCATGGAGGCGCTCGGACAACTTCACAAGTTACTTCAGTGTGGGTACTACTAGCCCAAAATTCATCAGGATGCGATGGACATAGTAAGGAGTTGTGATGTGTGCTAGCGGCAAGGAGCCAGCTCACGACGCCACGAGTTATCCATGACACCTATTCTGGAGGTGGAGCTATATGATGTGTGGGGAGTTGATTTCATGGGCCCATTTGTGAGATCCTATGGGCAGAAGTATATATTGGTGGCAGTGCACTATGTATCCAAATGGGTTGAGGCAGTTGTTTTTCCTGAGAATGATGGCAAGAGTGTTGCTGGCTTTCTAAAGAAAAATATTTTCTCAAGGTTTGGCACACCCAAATCCATTATCAGCGATGGCGGTTCCCATTTTCGCAACAAGGTATTCAGTGCGCTTCTGTCCAAATATGGGGTTAAACAGCACAAGGTGGCAACACCTTATCACCCGCAGACTAGTGGCGAAGTGGAGGTGTCCAATAGAGAAATAAAGGCAATTCTGGCTAAAATAGTGAATGCCAATAGGACAGATTGTGCACAAAAGTTAGATGATGCTCTATGGGCATATCAGACAGCTTTCAAGACGCCTATTGGTATGTCTCCATATCAATTGGTGTTTGGAAAGGCATGTTATTTGCCGATTGAGCTTGAGCACAAGGCACTCTGGGCTTTGAAGAAGCTGAATCTTATTCGGGTTGAAACAACAAACCTGTGACTGGATCAGATTAATGATATGGATGAGTTCCGTTTGAGAGCGTATGAGAGGTCTGCACTATACAAGGAGAGGATGAAGTTGTATCATGATAAGCATATTGAGAAGAGAACCTTCACCCCTGGTGATTTAGTGTTACTTTTTAACTCTAGACTTCGTCTGTTTCCGGGGAAGTTGAGATCCAAATGGTCTGGCCCTTTTAAATGACCCAGTGGTTCCAGTCGGGTGCTATTGAGCTTGATGATGACAAAGGAGAGCGGTTCAAGGCCAATGTCCAGCGAATCAAGGCATACTTAGGTGTCCTGAAGAAGTGAAAATAGTGGAGGAATGTAAGCTTGATAAAGTCTGAGTAATCAAGTAACCTGCGTCACGCCGCGATGTTAAATTGTACGATGCTTTGGAAGCAACCCAAGATTGTAATTGTAACAGGTAGTTTCATTTTTCTTTGTTTTTATAGAGTCACTATGTGTTGATGCGTGCAGGAAGGATTTGGACTAAGAATTGCATAACTGGAGCGGGAAGCCCTTCACGAGCAGTCCTACGGACCATGGTGCCCTTTACGAGCAACTTCATGGCCCATGGCAAGCACCTACAGGATATGAAGGTTATTGGAAATTGGTTCACAGACGGTCCATCAGACTTTGTACTGACCGTCTAGCCTCTCGTGAACGTCAGGTAAGTGTTTCTTTGCTAAGTTATGTTCACGAACCCCTATACGGACTGTGTTGCCCGTTACGAGCAACTTCACGGTCCGTCATCCCTAACCCAGAAGGTATGAAAACTGACCCGACCCACGCGTTTTAAAGGATTATGATGCAACGTATTTAGTTCTTTTCAATCGCCAAGGGTCAAATTTCTCACATTCTCTCTTCCATAACGGTTACACCATTATATAAAAAAGAGAAGGGGTTTTCAACATCTATCGATTCCACAATTCTTCCGAAATTTGAAACCCTAATCTCTTGTGTCAAAAACTTCAAGTCAAAGTTCATCATACTCTTTTTGGGTGAAATTTCCTTTACTTCCAAGTAAGTCACTTCATAACTTGTTATAAGTTTGATCTTGTCTAAAAACAAGTTAGATTTACTTCGCTTTAGTCGAGTTTAGCATGATTATGTGATGAACTATCTTGGTTGGTATTGAATTATTGTGCGTTAGTGTGAATTAGGTAAATTTGATGGTTCTATTGTGGGTATTATGAGGGTATGTGCGTATTGGATGAATATTGATTCTTGTTGGCATTTTGTTTGATGAAAGTTAGTGGTGTTAGTAGTCACGTTGTGATCTTGTGTTAAAAATGGGTGTAACCTGTCTTATAATGAAGTCGGGGGAGACAATGACTGAATGATTGGCGAAGTGTAAGACCACGATAGGCTTCACGGATCGAGGAAGCCTATACGAGCCGTGAAACCACTCGTGGACCACACTTGGGCATTCGATACAACCACTAAATATGTTCACGACAACTCTCACGGACCGTGGTTCACTCCACGGGTCGTACAACTATCCGTGAATAATACTTGGTTCAACCTCTGTTGCACACTGATACTGTCTTAAGTCCACGTGAGGTTTCATGGCCCGTGTGAGCTTCCGTATAAAATATAATATATATATAATACTTTTATTTTATTTTAGCTTTATTTTCTATATTTTTTATTTCTTTTCCATTTTTTTGATTATGTGGCCCTTCCCAATGATAGATTAGGTGACGGCATTCTTAAGGCAAGGCGTCATGTTGTAATTACACAAGGGAAGTCTGACTACCCGATAGTGTGTCATTTTACTGATTTGCATAACTAACAAGCTTTGTATTTTTCAGGTACAATGGCTCTCCGAAGAAAGAATACAACCAAACATTCCTTACCTACTACTTCTCAATTGGAAGGTGTTAATGCTTCAGAGTGTAGTAGTTTCGATGTGCAGATAAATACCACCATTGAGGAGCACTCACCTCGAGCTACTACAGCCCAGACAAGGAGGGCACTTCTCGAGGACACTCCTCCCAGTCTGAAAAGGGAGGTAGTAGTTCCTGTAGTGGTGAGGAATTGGGAAGCCAGTTTGCTAATGGTTCGGGAGGAAGTTAGAATTTTCTAGTGGCTCT